TTCCAGAGCCCCCTTCTCACCCCAGGATAAAAGCCTCTCTCCCTCACAGGCTTAATAAAAGGAGTCCTCCTCCTACTCTCTTCCAGAATGCCCTCACAGGAGCCTGTCATACTCCCAGGAGATCACTACTATATTTAAAGGTGCAGCAGATGTCACCAAAAAATCAAGAACTTGCCCAGGGGCACAGAACAGGGTTTTTTGGTGAAGTGACCCTTGCCCACCTTTCATCTGGTATTCACTTGGACCTAGAGAGCCCGAGCCCAGGCAGCAGGAACCAGAGTGATTCACCTCCCCTGCCCCCATCCCTATTCACCCCCCCCCATTCCTTGTCCCTAAGGAGCCTAAGGCATTTGACTGCTAACCAGCAGGTTGATGGTTCAAACCCATCAGCTGTTCTACAGAAGGAAGATGGCCAATCAATCTAATTCCGTAAAGATTTACCGCATTGGAAATCCAATGAGGGTCGCTATGAGTCAGAACCCATTCAATAGCAGTGGGTTTGATTTTTTGGGTTTACTCTCCACCCCACTAGGGGGTTTTTCCCAGACAGAAGGAATTGAGAGAAAATTTGCTCCATGGAGATGTCCTGGAAGCTTGGAACTAGTTCTCATTCTCCCACAGACTAGCTGTGTGCCCCAAGGCCAGCTCCCACTGTCTCTGAGGCTCCACCTGTCACGTGGCTGGGGCACTTCCCGAGGATGGCCCTGACTCTAATGGTCCCAGGAGGCAGTGTTGCCCCGAGGTGGTGTGGTCCAATAGCCAGTGTGTGAGCATCCTGGCTGGGCTCACACGGCCCTGGACCCTCTCTCCTGCGTCTAGTCCAATAAGCTTTACTGTCTCTTGCATCCCTTGCTGGCTGTGCATCCTCAGGCCAGTGTCTACACCTCTTTGACCTTCCACCTGACTGATATCAGATGGGATACTCCTTGCCCTACCTGGTTCTGGACTCCAGAAACCCAGTGATTGACAGCAAGGCTTTTGCTAAGCTGTGCTTGAAGGACCATAGTGTGGTAGGGAGACACAGCCACAGGGAGCTGGGCTACAGATCAGAATAGCAGCAAGGAGCCCAAAGCATGGGCTGCAGTGCCCTTGACCTTCATTGGTCATGGGCTCCTACTCCTGGGAGGCCTTGAAATCAGGGCAGAAGAAAGTCTTAACTGTGGCCTGGCCCAGGGCCAGGCTGGGACTCAGGAGTCAAGGCTGCAGGTTACACATTAATCCTGGGCCAGAAGGCCCAGTCTACTGACCACCAGCAGCCCTCCACCCCCTCGCCCACCAGAAGCCTCCTCAGGCTTTCCCCAGCCCCCATCCTCCTGGGACACCCACACATGGGCACCTTGTGCCACCCACGTCACCTCTCCTTGCTGCCATGTGGAAGCTACCTGGCTCAAGCAGGGGCAACCACTGGAGACAGAGATCTTTCTGGCAGGAGAGACAGCCAGCTCTGTAATCTGGGGGCCAGGGGAGAGGGGCCCAGCCTCCTCCCAGCCCATCCCTCAGAAGGGGCTGCCTTCAGGCCACCAGTGCTCTGCCTTACCAGGGGGGCTTGATCCGGGCCTGAGGGGCAAAGGTGGTGGTATGGACTCCCCCACCCTGCTCATGGCTAAACCCAGGCCCCACTCACCCGCCAGCAGGATGGTCAGATGGCAGAGGGCAGCCAGGCGCAGCAGCCACGAGCAGGAAAGGGGAGTCATGGCTGAGGATGATGGAGGTCCAGGCAGGCAGGGCCGGGGCTGGCAGTCAGGGCCAAGCTTCCGAGCTCAACGCCTGCCGTTCCCTCACTGCCTGATCTCTGTCGCTTTTTATAATGGGGCTCGCTGCCTCCGCCTCCCGCCCCGCAGGCTGGCGAGTGGGAGGGGAGAGGAAGGGAGCCAGTGCGCGGCGGCTGGATTCCTCGGGATGTTGCCAAGGAAGCAAGCGGCTCACTGGCTCCAGGAGAGGGGCTGCCGCAGAAATCCAGGGCTGGCTGCTCCAAGTCCCGCCGTCCTCGCAGCCGGTCCTCACACCAGGACCTGCCTGGGAGGCTGGATCATGTCTGCTAGGGTTCCAAAGGCCACCTTCCTCCCAGGAGCTGATACGTGTCCCAAGATCTGGCCTGGGCCCTAGCTCCTGAGTGAGTAATCTGCTAAAGGACTGAGGGATAGAGCTGCTGGCTGCCAGCTAGACCACAGAAATCAGGGTCCCACCCTCCTGTCCAGGTCTGACAAACTCTCCTTTGGTCTGGGAAGTACCTCCCCCTACACCTCTGCCATGAGGGATCCCCAACTATCACCCCTTAAAGCCCCAGGCCCCAGGCTAAGAGCAGGGTAATGCTGGACTATGATCTCCCAGGGCATGTTTGATGCCACACATGCCCCCACCATGCGCCCAGCATAGGTCCCAGACAAACAGTAGGGGTTCATCACAGTGTTCAATGAAAGAATGCTCCAGCCCCACTTCATGTGGACAGATGGGAAAACTGAGGCCCACAGAAGGGGCAGTCCTATCTATCCCAGGTCCTACAAAGCATCAGGGTGGAGAAGCTACCACAGAGAAGAGGGCTGGGCAGGAGTGGGGTGTGGGCAGCTCAGGACACAGAAAGGAGCCTTTACCTCCTCCCTCCTCCCCTATCTTTTCCTTTCCTTTCCTCCTTGCCACCCACTCCCAGCTCCGGCCGTGGCCCCTGCTAGGCTGCGAGAACAACATGGCTGCCAGCCTCCACTGAGGTAACTCAGTGCCTCTTAGCTCCTCCCTGACTCTGCAACCCTTGCCCTGGAGAAATCCTGACTCTCTTAGGGCCTCAGTTCCCCACTATGCAAGGAAGAGGTGGGCTAATCACTGAGAGAGAGCCTCCCAACTCTGAACACTCCAGGCTCTCTCTCACTAGAGGAGCAGATAAGGCCAGCCTGCCAGCTCCCCCAAAAGCTGGCATTAACACTCTCAGGCACTGGACATTAATACTCTCAGGCATTGGGCATGGCGATGATTTCTTTAATGCAGCCTTCCCTTCAGGCAGTGGGAACAATCCCCAGACCCCAGAAGAGTTTGTCAGGAACCTAGCTTAGCCTGGGGCTAGGGGTTAACTGTGCCCACCACATCCTAGACCGCCAGCCAGAGGGAAACCAGTTTATTTGTGAGTCACTGACCCAGGCTACTGGGTGAGCTGGTTCAGGGTGTGCTGGGCAGAGGGACTACATATCCCAAGGCCAGGAACCCCTCATCCACCCCAGCTGGCACCACCCGTAGTAGTTAAGTTTGTGTGTCAACTTGGCTGGGCCTGGCTGAGTGGCTAGGCAGCTGGATGTAGACCATGATGAGACTGGTAATCAACTCCATGGTGGAATCTACTGGGAGCAGCTGAGTAGCTGCCTTAGGGACTGTGGTCTGCTTCCTATATATAAGGAGAAGCCTTGAAAAACGGTCTCTAGCTTATGGTACTCTTGAACCCTGCATGTAACTGTGTTGTTGTTCAGCAGCCTGCCATGCTCTGCTGACCTTGGGATTTACAATGGACTTGAATTAATGGCCTGCCATGTGGTTTGGTAACATCGGGACTGTGCCTTTTTTACTTGTCAGCCTTGGGCTTTTCAGTCTCAGCAGCCAGCAGCCGTCTGAGTGAAGAAAAGCCTCTAGCTTCTGTGGGCTGGGAGCAAGAGGCAGAGCTAAAGCCTAAGGTCGAGGGGCTTTCACCCAGCCCCTAGAGCCTGGACTTTGAACTCAGTTTAAAGCCTCCTAACTGTAAGAGAATAAACCTGTTTGTTAAGGCCATCCCATTTGTGGTGTATTCTTGTCAGAGCAGCACTAGGGAACCAAACACCATCCAAGCATGATAGGGAGTCTGGGGGTGGAGCTAGGAGGCTGGAGGATCCTGGAGGGGGAGGGCACATGAAGGGGAGGAGCATGGTGGCAGGGGCCAACGTCCACTCAGGTCCACTGATATCGGTGAATGTGTCCCAGCCCATGTGGACATGGAGCCAGTAGCCTTCTTGTTTCTGCTGTCCAACCCCTCATTTGTTAGCTGGAAACATTGAGGTCCCAAGAGGGGTGATGAGTGATAAGAACTGACAGAGGGAGTCTTTCTGCTCTGTTCATAGTCAGAAGAGGAAGGAGAAGAGGCTTCAAGGAGGAGGTGGGGAGAAGAGATTGAGGGGGAGGAGTGGGGGAGCTGGGGAAGGATGACTAGGTATTTAATACTGAGCCAATATTCAAATGTCTGGTTGCTCTAAAAGTGCATTTTGTAGTTTCTTTCCCCTCTTTCCTCTTCTTCCTCCCTCTCTCCTTCTCTCTTCCCTTTCTTCCTCTCTTTTATTGTTTTAATGAGGCAAAACACACACACCATAAAACAATGCATTCTGAAATGTACAACCCAGAGGCATTGAGTCCCTTCCCAGTGCTGTGCAGTCACGTCTGTCGAGCTCCAAAACATTTCCATCCCCACAAAGTAGTCCCAGACCCTTTGTTGTTGGGTGCTGTCAGTCAACTCCAACTCGACTCTAATTTTGTAGGACAGTGTGGAACTGCCCTGTTGGATTTGCTTGGCTGTCATCTTCACGGAAGCAGACTGCCAGGCTTCTCTTGCAGAGCCATTGGAGGGGTTCGACCTGCCAACCTTTCAGTTAGCAGCTAAGCACTTAACTGTTGTGCCACCGGGTCTCCTTCTGTATGTACCCTGTACACAGTCTCTTATTTTGAACTGAGATCCAATTTAGGTTCATGCATTCCATTTGGTTGTTACTTCTTTTCAGTCCACAATAGTTACCTTGCACATTTTTCATGGTATTGATTTTCTGAAGAGCCAAGGCCCTTGTCTTATAGAATGTCCTGACTTTTAATTTGTCTGTGTCTTTGTTATGTCATTTAATCTGTTCCTCTATTCCATGCATTTCCTGTAAACTGGAGAAAGATGTGAAGGCTCGGTTAGACCCAGGCTACACATTCTTGGCAAGGCTCTTCATGACTAATACTGTGTGGCTTACCTTGCATCGCATCAGGAGGCACATAAAGCCAGGTTGTCCCACTGTTCCTTGAACTGAAGGGATTGATGGAAATCACTAGACCTCACTTTGGTAGAGGTGTTATTCCCTTCATGATTTGCAAGTAACCTGTGGGATGAAGTCTTGGCACTCTGCAATACGCACATAGGCAGGATTTTGACAGACAAAGGGAAAACCTTAACTGATGTGGAAAACACAGGAAATGGGGAGTGAGCCGGTGCCATTGGCTCCAAGGAAGGAGTGGGCAGGGAGACTGCAGTTGGACCGAACTGCAGAGAGCCTTGAAACTAGCGTGAGGACGCTGATGAGGGGCAGAGAGAGCTGGAGAGCTCTTAGCTGGGGAGTAACTAGAGCAATAATTAGCACAACAAGCATTACTGCGCGGCAGAAAGGAGGATTTCTGCCAGTGGGTTCCAGAAGGAAAGAGACGCTGCTATGAAGGGAGTGGTGGGGATGAGGCCCCCATACAGCCTGGAGAGGAGGCAGCCTATGCTGTTCTTGGGGAACTGGAGGGATTCCCCCAGGCCCAGAAGCAGAACAGAAACGGCCGTGGTGAGTGGGGGGGGCCGGGATGGTGGAGGAGATAGGGAGCGGTCTTGAGTCCTGCTCCTGGGCTGCCATCTCCAAGGCTCCTGGAGGACAACCTTGCCTAGCTCTTCCCTGCCTCCCCCAACTCTGCCTGTGGTGGTTATGTTGTGTGTCAACACGGCTGGGCCAGGTTGAGTGGCTGGGCAGCTGGTGGTAGTATTCCCCATGATGAGACTGGCAGTCAACTCCATGGTGGGATCTACCACAAGCAGCTGAGTAGCTGCCTTTGCGATGTGGTCTGCTTCCCGTATATAAGAAGCTTTGAGAATGGTCTCTAGCCTTTGGCACGCTTGGACCCTGCATGTAGCTGTGTCGTTGTTCAGCAGTCTGCTATGCTCTGCCAACCTTGGGACTTACAATGGACTTAAGTTAATGGCCTGCCATGTGGTTTGGTAATATCGGGACTGTGCATTTTTACTTGTCAACTTTGGGTTTTTCAGCCTCAGCAGCCAGCAGCTGTCTGAGTGAAGAAACGCCTCTAGCTTCAGTGGGCTGGGAGCAAGAGGCACCCCAAGGTTGAGGGGCTTTCACTCAGGCCCTAGAGCCTGGCGCTTTGAACTTGGACTTAAGGCTTCCAAATTATAAGAATAAACTCCTGTTTGTTAAGGCCATCCCATTTGTGGTATATTTGTCAGAGCGGCACTAGGTAGCCAGAACACTGCCCAACTTAACTTTTCTGACCAATAAGGAGAGCTGTCCACATAGCTTTGGCATTTCCTTTGTCTGTGCACATACCTGGCCATAATTTCTTATCTCATCAGACCCTTACAGTTTCCTGCCCCCTGCCCACATTCACAGAGGGAGAGATGAGGCTCAGAAAAGGAAAGCAACATGCTCTGGAAGCTCCGCTGGTGAGTGGCAGAGACGGATTCATTCCTTGTCTGCCCTTCCTGGTGCTTCCCTCAGGCCCCTAGACAAGTGCTCTGGGTATCGGGAGCTACTGCCCTGGGAACTGCAGTGGTTGCCAGATCTGAAGCGGAACAAAAGCCACGTGGGACAAGACGTCCTTTGAATGGTTGTTTACACTGAGGAAATAATGAAAATACTCCAAAGGCAGAGAGCTTCTTGTTTTGTTGTTTGGGGAGTGTGAACTGTGTTTGGGTACTCCAGGAAAACGGAGAACTAGGGAGCTCAGGGGAGCCAGGGTCACCCAGCACCAGAACTAGGTGCTTTCCAAACCCACTTCCTCTTCCTTCTGGACACACAGCTGCCGATATTCCCTAGATCCCTTGCAGGCAGGTGTGGCCATGTGATTGAATTCTGCTAAGGGCCCATGGGTAGATGTGATGAGCACCTTTTCCTGGCCTGGCATGTAAAACTCTCCCATAGTTTTCCATTTTCTTTCCTTATCTGCTGGATGAATGGATCAGAGCTGAGGGTCTAGAGAAGAGCCAAGCCATAAGAGAGAAGGAAGCTGGGTTCCTGAATGACCATATGGAAGGTCACCAGGAATGCCTGCTCAGACTTCACATGAGAAGGAATAAGTCTCTACTGAGTTGAGCCACTGAAATTCTGGAATTCTTTGTTGCGGGAAGTAGCCTTTCCTGACTACTACTGACTACTACACTATCTTCTTCTGCCCAGTGACTATCCTTAAAGACAAAAGGTTGAGGCTGGGTTTTGAGTGAATGAATGAATGAATACAGGCATGAATAAAATCTGCTTCAGGCTCTAGACTTCCTAGTTTCCTCAGATTCTCCAGACAGCTACTACCAAGAAGGGAATTTTGGGATGTCTGAGCTTCCTGCTGACACCTGGGCAACTACCTCTCAGGTTCTGGTCCCCCCAGGATGACCTTAGGAGAATCACCTGCCATCTCAGTGTCAACAGCTGGTCCCCCCTTGGGAGGGAGGGAACAATGGTATCTCCGGCTACTTCACAGGAACAACAAATAGATGCCAAGGAACCAAAGCAAGGTTTTCAGAATTTATTTTCCAGAAGGTCTGAGGGGCAAGGGCAGGACAGAGCCCTGAAGAGGAGGGGGACCTCGGGACACATGAGGGCCTGTTTGTGGCACTTCCAGTGCCCATGGTAGGCAGATAACCCTGGGCTTCAGGGGGACACAGACCCTGGAAGACACTGAGCTTTGTGACTGGCCAAGTGTCACTTCCTGTCCTTGATCTAAGCTCCACAACCGCCCTGAAGGTGAGTATTGCCATCCTTATTGTTAGGGAGAATCAGGCACACACCAACCACATGCTGAGCACAGCTCCCGCACCATGCTGAGCTGCCCAGGTGTCCTCGGAGGGCAGCAAGCACGGGCACAGCTTATTTATCTGAGGACCCTGCTGAGGACCCAGGGAGGTGAAGGTGAGTCCCAAACCCCCACCCTTAGCTTGGCCCAAGTCACCCTGAGGACAACCTCCATCCAGGTCTCCTCCACTTAACTCACCCACACACTGACACATAGCAGGCTACCACGATGGGCTGCCTCCCAGGGCCGGGAAAGTGCCACTTTTGTTCCCTTCTGTCACAGTTCCTAAAATTCTCCCATTCATCCCTTTGTCCTCTTTTCATATACAAATATATCTAGAGCTTATAACAGTAAGCCAAGGGTAGTCATTCACATCATAGCATGAATTTGATTACCAGTTCTTTGGGGAAGGAGGAAGGGAAAGTGGAGTATGGGTACCCTGAATGGGGCAGGCTCGGATGTTGGCAGTTGGGGGAGCAGTAAAAGCCTGAGATAAGTAAGAAGGGTATCTTTACAAGAAGGTAAAACAGGCAAGAAAGGGGAATTTGGGCAGGTTTGGGGCTTCACAGTTGACCTAAGTGGTCCCTCTCCAGGTCACCTAGAGTTTGGATTTGGGGAGGGGATAGGAAGGAACGTTACTTTTATTGATTGATTCTACAGCCACCTGCTGAGCTCTGACTCTGAGCCAGGCCCTGTGCTCTGTGCTGGAGGCTGGGAGAGAAGAGTCACTTGGAAGTGAACACTGGTCCAGCAAGCAGGGCTGGAGGACCAGCCCCTGAGTCCTGAGGATTCTGGGCAGACTGTGATCAGGGCAGAGGGCCAGGAGAAGTCTGAAAAACGAAAATTGATTACTGGATGCTTGAGTAGAGCAATGCCTTGGAGGGCTGGTGGGGTTGGGTATGTGAAGGAGATGGGAAGGACATTTTGGGTGTCAGTAATAGATCATGCAAAGGCCCCAAGCTGGAAATGTATGGCATGGGTTTGGAGAACAGGGAGCCCAACATGCGTGAAGGGAAGAGGGTCAAGGCTGGAGACAGGGAGGAGACCCAGAGGGCCAGGCTGCCAGGCTCAGGAGCTCTGACTTTAGCCTAGGAAAGTGGAGAGTCACAGAAGGGTTTGGGGCAGAGAAGTGACTGACCGGAATTATGGGTCCTCTCTGGCTGCTGTGGGGCAGAGAGTGGGCTGGAAGGGTTAGAAGAGATGTGGGGAGGGGCAGTGCAGGGGCCTGACTGAGGGTGGTGGCCATGGAGATGGAGATCAGAGAATGCAGAGACCTTGGTACGGTCTTGGGTGTTGGGAAGCAGCTGTCATGGTGGGGAGTCTGGGTGCCATGAGCCTTCCTGGAGCGCCAAGGCCATGGTCATAGGGCTCTCCTCATTAGCGTAGCTTCTGGAGAAACCTCTTCACCCAGGCCTGCCTGGGATCGGCACAGATCTCCCGGTCCTTGAGGGTTAACAGGCTGGAAGGAGACACCGGGGCAACAGAGCAGCAGCTTTAACACACACCATGGATGCCACTCACCCCCCTGAGAGCTTAGCATTGAGAAGCACCTGTTGTGTGAGGTTCAGCCTTCATGAGGCACCTGCTGTATTCAAAGTGCATTTCTCAATGCGTGGAGGGGTCAGTGAGCAGTAAAAACTTCCCAGACCCTCAGTCCCTTCCTTGAGTGCCAGGTCAAGCTATAGAACAGAATTCCCAATAGTCTAAAAATAATCCCTGACATTGTCTTGGTAGAGGAAGTATTGGGTAATATCCAAGAGTATGGGCTTTTGAGGCAGCCTATCTGAGTTCAAATCCTAGCACTGCCACTTGCTAGCTGTGTAATTTGGGGCAAGTCACTTAACTTCTCGGAGCCTCAGTTTCCATATCTGTAAAACGGAGATCATAATCATAGTTCAAACTCAGGGTCTGATGAGTTGATGTATCTCTATCACCATATTTATATGTCGAACTACTCAGGATAGCACACAGCACACAGTAGGTGCTATATGATTATGCCAGGAGCTGGCCTGAGCTCTTTACGTGGATTTCCTTCATGAATTCTTATAGCAACCCTATGAGACTACTGTTCTATCCATTTTACAGAGAAGTAAACTGAAGGCTAAAGAGATCAAGCAATTTACCCCTGCACAGCAGCTGATAAAATCTGACTGTACCACGCACACTGTCAACCTGAATTCTCTGGGAGCAGCGCCTTTGCAGGTACCTCTCAGAGGCTGGAAGCACAGAGAGTTGGAACACTGGCTCAGGGTCACATAGCAAGTCACAGGCTAAGGCTGCTTTCCTGGCCCAAGCAGCAGCAAGCACGTGGCTAGGCCCTTATGCTGTGCCTCAGTCTTGCTGACTCAAAACCCTGTCCAGAAGGCCTGGGGACGCCTGGCTCTCTTGCCCCACAGACAACCAACAAAGAGAAGAAGAAAGGCAGTGAGGCTGAGCTCGGCCACATAAGCAGCCTTTCCCAGCCACAGTGTGATACTGGGCAGCATTCAGCCCCTCTCTGGACCTCAATCTCCCCACTTGTCAAGCCACATTGTTTCTAGAGTCTCTTTCAGTTCAAAATCCAGTGATCACATGTTCCATCTTATATGGAGCACTTACTATGTGCCAGGCATTGAGCTCTACACTTTCCAGTTACTGTTCCTGTGCCGTCTGATCAAGGAGCCCCAGACCCTCTCTGCACCTGTTTCCTCACCTGTGCAAAGGGATGGTAACAATACCAGCTGCAGAGGGTTGTTTCAAAGATGACCTGAATTAATATCAATAAAGTGCTTACAACATGGCCTGCCACTTAGCAAGTACACTCTACATGTTTGGGATAAATGAGAATAAATGAAGCTTGTTACTCTCAATACACAGATGGGAAAACTGAGGCTGAGTTGAAGTGACGTGAGCCCTGGGAGGGCTTCAGCTTTAGCCCTTTTTGTAACTCACCTGCAGAGCCCTCTCTGAGAGATGGAATCAGCAGCGAGAAGGAAGATGAGAAGATGATGGAAGCCAAAGGAGGTGGAGACCTGGAGTCTCCAAACTCAAATACCACTAGGGCCTGATGGCTAGGTCTGAGGGGTTGGCGAAGTAGCCAGAGGGGCTGCTGCAGAAAGGGAGTCCCCAGCTGGGGACAGAGGCATGTTTAGGTCTCAGACCAGGAAAAAAAGAAGCAAAGGAGCAAAGAGAACAGGAAGGAACTGGAGCCTCAGGTTAGGCTCTGAACAAGGACCCCAGAGCCCTGCGTCCAGCCTGGGTGACCTTGAGAAAGTCATTTCCCTTGTCTGCATTTGTTCTTTGTCTATAACATAGCAGTGATCATACCTCCTCATAGGGTTGTAGTGAAGATTAAACAAGTTAACCCAGGTTACGTGCTCAGCTCAGTGCCTGATGCACAGGAGTTAGCTCTGAATATTCTTCTAGTATAAAGAGTCACCTCCAACAACTCCCAGGGGTTGGGGAGGACTCCCGATGCTTTTGATGTATCTCTGCTTACTAAGAAGCAGTAGGCACTTTGCCGATTACCTGCACTGACTCAGGCACCCTGTTCACTCAGCTCTACACCCCCAGAACCTGGCCCATCGCCTGGCACATAGCAGGTGCTAGATAATATTTGTTGAATGACCACATTATGTTTATTCTTAGTACGCCCAAGCCAAGGCTGAACCATACACTCCAGGCAAGCCCTGAAAGTGGGCGTCTAGATTCCAGGCTGTATTCCTCCCTAGGTCTACCTCCCAACACACCTGTACCTGGGCCACCCTGGGCCACACGTGCCAGGCCCTCCAAGGCCCTGATTCCCCCAGCTCCCTACTCACACCACGCCAGGCTTCCGGCAGGAATCTGAGGTCCAGAAGAAATATTTCACCACACGCAGGGGCAGGGGGTGACGGATGTAGTCCCTGCAGCAGATGCTGTCCTCCACATTGGCACCATAGGGGCCTAGGGGAAGGGAGATGTTAAAGATTCACAAACTGGGGCACAGAGGTCACCTGAGGTCCCAACCCCTGACCCTGGTGCTCTCCAAGTACTAGGAAAGGCATGCAGCTTCTATTTTCATGAAGAAGGTTGGTACCCAGAACATTCTGAGTCGTCAAAGACACCACACTCGGGGCCTCTGAGAAGCCACAAAGGTCCCAATGTCTACACTCTGGATGGTCAAATCAAGGGGAAGGGACTCAGATCAACTGACGTTAATGATGCCCTGAGCTTCTAGGTGGGACTCAGAGACTCTGGACGGATGGAGAATTAGAACCTTGCTATTCAAAGGGAGATGGGCGGTCCATGGACAGCAGCATGAGCATCACCTGGGAACTTGTCCTTAACCCCAGACCTGCGGAATCAGGTGCACATTTAAATCAGATCCCTACGAGATTTGTAACACACTAAGGTTTGAGAAGCCCTGCTTCAGATCACATCTACTATGACCCCCTTCGCTGTGCAAATGGCTAAGCTGAGGTCCAGAGAGGGGAAGAACTGGCCCAAGGTCACAAGACCACAGCAGAGTTGGGACCAAGGCTCAGGTAGAGTGCAGTCACACAGTCCTGGATTTGAATCCTGTTCTGCCCTGGGCAAGTCATTTAACATCTCTAAAGCCCAATTTCCAGCTCTCACCAAGGATGTAATAATAGTACCTATTTTATGAGATCTTTAATGCAGAGGAAGCTTTCAGGAAACTCAGTAAATGTGAGCCATTATTGTCATGTTGGCCTGACTCCAGTCCAATGCTCTTTCTCCTACCCAACACAGGGCAAGAGAGTTAACACTGGGATAAAGAGAAGGCAGGACTCAGTGTTTAGGGAAAGTTCTGAAGCAAAAATGGGGTGGGGGGCAGGACCAGCTTTCCATGGGAGGATCCCCTACCCTAGTTCCTGCCTTTCCCCTTTCCAGCTGACCCCTCGCAGTGGCTCCTATCCACATCTCAACTATCCTATACTCAAGTTCTCTGGGGCTGGGATTCCTCAGGCTGTACCCACCACAACCCCCCTGCTCAGCTGAAATAAATCCTAAACTCCAAGCCTTCAAGACACTCATTTAATAGATGAGTCAACTGAGGCCCAAGACCACAAATCAGGGGCCGATGGGAGTCTTCTGCTCTCAATCCATGCTCCGTCCACTGCGTGAGGGAGCCAGCCCTTGGCCTCTGCAGGGAGCCTCCCTCTCCCAGGCCTCACCTGCCTCTGTGCCTTGAAGCATCACAGCAAGAAGGACGAGGGCCGCTAAGAATGAGGTCTGCAGGTTAGCCATGCTCCTGTCTTGTGTGTCCCAGCCCAGATGTCTGCAGTCACCAGAGGACAGAAAGTTCTGCTATATAAGCTCTGGCTACACCCACAAGTCTCAGACAATCTTAGTCACCGGTGAGCCCAGAATCTTTGACATTCAAATGTGAAAGGAGAACTCTTGCTTCCTCCAAACTGGAGGAAATTCTCTGTGGCCAGGAACCACTCAGAGGGGACCCCCAACCTGCCCTCCTTGAAAAACCCCCCACAGCAGGGTCCTTTGGAGGCTCATGCTCCCAGGGTCTCATCGTAGGATAGCCTTGGTCATAACACTGGATATCTCTGTGTCTCAGTTTCCCCATTTGGGAATGGAGGAGATGCTTTCACCAACCTATTTATCTCAGAGATGGTTTATAAATGAAGTGAGAATGTGCACAGGAGGTAACAGCCCCAAATCTCCATCTGGAATTGAAACTGAGCTTGTACCCTTGATGACCTTCATCATTGATCTCTCTTCAAAGGCATAGGCCCACACACTACTTGAGTTGCTCTCTTTGTTCCATCACCAGCCTCTTCTGGGGGTTCTCACAAAGCCTCAACTTCAGCAGTTGGTGTTCCACTCAACACTTTGCAAAGAGCTTCCTTCTGTTCACCTTCCTTCTGTTACCACTAGGCTCCTCCTCACCCACCCCTTTTCAATCTATCACCAAGTCTCACTGATTATACTTCCTAAATCTTTCATCTCTGTCCCCTCCTTTCCATCCCCATTGCTCCTGTCCAGTCAAGCCACATCTGTCTCAGGCCACATGTTGGCCCCTCCCATTCCCTCTCTAACTGCAGCAGCCAGAGTGAGTTGTCCAGACTCAAAGCTGCAAGTGCCTCCCCCCTGCTTCAAACCCTGCCGTGGCTCCCATTGACACAAAGGCCAAGCCCAGGCTCCTAACTAGCTTTCAAGGACCCCTTTCCAGATATGCACCTCCTGATTTTACCACCCCCTCAAACCAGACCACACTCTTCACAGTTCCTCAAAAATATCGGCTGGTCCATCTGTGGCCATAAATGTCCTTTCCAACTCTCTACCTCATAAACTCCTACTTATGCGTCAAAGCCATTTGAAATGTCACCTCCATGGCAAGCACACACCCTCAGGATGTCAAAGTTCTCTGGGGTGAAGTGGAATGGGGCCTGGAGTAGACCATGCTGGTTTACTCCAAGCTCTCCAAAGGCAGGGCTCTCCGTTTACTTGTCTTGGTATATTCCCAGAGTCCATCAAAGCCTGGGCATGTGGTGGGTGCTCAGAACAAATCTAATGAAAGAGGAAACCAAGACTCAAAGAAAAACAGACCTGACCAAGGTCATACACCAACCAGTAAGTGACTGAGTCAGGCCTGGAGCTCAGGACTTAGGACTCCATTGGTCAAGGGACCCATCCATTCATTATTTCATTCATTCATTCAACAAATATTTCGATTCAAACCCATCAGCCTTTCTGAGGAAGAAAAATAGGGCAGTCTGCTTCTGTAAAGATTTACAGCCTTGGAAACCCTATCGGAGTCACTGTGACTCAGAATCGACTTGATGGCAGTAGGTTTGGATTACAGTACACAAATGACCACTCATCTGTCAGTTTGTGTACCATCGTAGCTTGTGTGTCATTATGATGCTGGAAGCTATGCCACTGGTATTTCAAATACCAGCAGGATGACTCATAGTGGACAGGTCTCATCACAGCTTCCCAACCAAGACAAGGAAGGAAGACCTGGCAATCTACTTCCAAAAGGATTGGTCAGCAAAGACCTTACAAATAGCAGTGGGACGTTGTCTGATACTGTACCGGAAGAGGAGACCTCCAGGTTGGAAAGCACTCAAAATATGACTAAAGAAGAGCTGTCTTCTCAAAGTAGAATTGACCTTAATATCAGTGGAATAAAGCTTTTAGGACCTTCATTTGCTGATGTGGCAAAACTCAAAATGAGAAGAAACAGCTGCAAACATGCATTAATAATCAGAACAAGGAATATACAATGTATGTATCTAAGAAAATTAAAACCCACTGCTATCATTGTGGTAAACTGTGGTCAATGTCATGAGACAAAGTATATGTGAACCGCTGTAAGGAAAGTGAATTTGCTCTGTAAACCTTCACCCAAATCACAATTTAAAATAATAGTTAAAAAAAACCCACTGTTATCAAGTCAATTCTGACTCATAATGATAGGGTAGAACTGCTCCATAGGGTTTCTAAGGCTGTATATCTTTTTGGAAGCAGACTACCTTATCTTTCTCCCTCAGAGTGGCCAGTGGATTCAAACCACTTACCTTTTGCTTAGCATCCAAATACTTTAATCACTATGCCCGTAGAGCTCCTTCAGAAAAATTAGAAGTCATGAGAAATGAAATGGAACTCATGAAGATCAATATCCTAGGCATTAGTGAGCTGAAATGGACTGGCATTGGCCATTTTGAATCAGACAATCACATAGTCTACTATATGGAAAGGATAAATTGAAGAGGAACAGCATCACATTTGTTGTCAAAAAGAATATTTCAAGATCAACTCTGAAGTACAACACCATCAGTAGTAAGATAATATCCACACACTTACAAGGAAGACCAGTTAATATGACAATTATTCAAATTTATGTACCAACCACTAATGCCAAAGATGAAGAAACTGAATAACTTTACCAAGTTATGCAGTCTAAAATTGATCAAACATGCAATCAAGATGCATTGACAATTACTTGTGATCAGAATGCAAAAACTGGAAACAAAGAAGAAGGATCAATAGTTGGAAAATATGGTCTTGGTGATAGAAATGACAGCAGAGATCACACGATAGAATTTAGTAAGATTAACAGCCTAGTCACTGGAAATATGTTTTTTCAATAATATAAATGGCAACTACATATGTGAAACTCAACAAATGGAATACACAGGAATCAAATTGACTACCTCTGTGGAAAGAGATGACAGAGAAGCTTAATATCATCAGCCAGAGCAAGACCAGGAGCCAGCTGTGGAACAGGCTGTCAATAGCTCATAGTCAAGTTCAAGTTGAAACTGCAGGAAATTAAAACAAGGTCATGAGAGTCAAAGTATGATCTTGAGTATATCTCACTTGAATTTACAGACCACATCAAGAATAGATTTCACACATTGAACACTAATGACCAAATACCTGACAGGTTGTAGGATAGCACCAAAGACATAACACATAAAGAAAGCAAAAGGTTATAAAAAAGACAGAAAAGGAAAAGAAGAACAAAATGGATGTCAGAAGAGACTCTGAAACATGCTCTTGAATGTATAGTGGTTAAAGTGAAGGGAAGAAATGATGAAGTAAAAGAGCTGAACAGAAGATTTCAAAAAGCAGCTCAAGAAGATAAAATCAAGTATTATAATGAAATGTGCAAATATCTGGAGTTAGAAAACCAAAAGGAAAGAATATACTTACCATTTTTCAAGCTGAAAGAACTGAAGAAAAAATACAAGCTTCAAGGTGCAATACTGAAGGATTGTACGGATAAAATATTGAATAACACAGAAAGCATCAAAAGAAGATGGAAGGAATACACAGAGTCACTATACCAAAAAGAATTGGTTGATGTTCAATCACTTCCGAAGGTAACATATGATTGAGAACTGATGGTATTGAAGGAAAGAAGTTCAAGTTGCACTGAAGGCATTGGCAAAAAACAAGGCTCCAGTAACTGAATACCAACTGAGATGTTTCAACAAATGGATGCAACACTGAAAGCACACATTCATCTGTGCCAAGAAATTTGGAAGACAGCTACCTGGCCAACCAACTGGAAGAGATCCATATCTGTGCCCATTCCAAAGAAAGGTGATACAACAGAATGTGGAAATTATCAAACGATATCATTAACATCACATGTAAGTAAAACTTGGTGAAGATAATTTTTAAAAAAATGGTTACAATGGTAGGAAACTACCAGAAGTTCAAGCCTGATTCTGAAGAGGACATGGAACAAGGGATATCACTGCTGATGTCAGATGGATCTGGGCTAAAAGCAGAGAATACCAGAAATATGTTTACCTGTGTTTCATTGGCTATGCAAAAGCATTCGACTGTGTGGATCATAACAAATTATGGATAACATTGCAAAGAAGCAGAGCTAGGTGCCAATGGCATTTGGAAGCAGCTTTAAGGGGCAGCCCAAAAGGGGAGCTGGGAGCGAGGTTTGACACTGCTTTAAGGGAGGCTAGGAAATGAGTGGAGCAGTTTGGAACAGCTAAGGAAGATGAACTTGCTTGTCAGTTTGTCATCCTGTGGTGGCTTGCATGTTGCTATGAGGCTGGAGGCTATGCCACTGGTATTGCAGATGCCAGCAGGGTTACCTATGGTGGACAGGTTTCCATGGAGCTTCTGGACTAGGACAGACTTAGAAAAAGGAAGAGGCCATCCACTTCTCAAAGACTTGGCCAATGAAAAACTTACAAATAGCAGTGAAACACTGTCTGATATATTACTGGAAAACTTTATGAATAGCCCTGAAACATTGTCCCATGTAGTGCTAGAAGATGAGCTCCTCAGGTCAGAAGGTACACAAAATACAACTGGGGAAGAGTTACCTACTGAGAGTACAGCCGACCTTAATGATGTGGATGGAGTAAAGCTTTCAAGATTTCCATTTGCTGATGTGGCACAACTCAACATGAGAAGAAACAGCTGCAAATATCCATTAATAACTGGAACATGGAATGTACGAAGTGTGAATCTAGGAAAATTGGAAGTTGTCAAAAATTAAATGGAATGCATAAAGATCAATATCCTAGGCATTAGCGAGCTGAAATGGACCACTTTTGGCCATTTTGAATCAGACAATGAAATGATCTGCTATGCCAGGAATGACAGATTGAAGAGGAATGGCGTAGCATTCATCATCACAAAGAATGTTTCAGGATCTGCCCTGAAGTACAATGTTGTCAGTGATAGGATAATATCCATACACCTTCAAGGAAGACCATTTAATACTACTGTTATTCAAATCTATGCACCGA